AATTTTGAGGCTAAGAAAGGATAACTGTTTATTGTTTTCGTGTTGTATGGTAAATTTGATGTTGGGGTGAATGGAATTTATATGTTCAAAGAACGTTAGTGTGTGTTCTGTAGAAGTGAAACCAGCAAAAGTGTCATCGACATATCTGTACCAGTATAGTGGGGGATGAAGCACAGAATGTATGGCTTGTGTTTCGATCTGGGTCATGAATATATTGGCAAGAACGGGCGAAACAAGATTGCCCATACTTAAACCGTCTATTTGAAGGAAATGTTCTTTGTTGAAAATGAAGTTGGTTTTAGTCGTTGTAAATTCTAAGAGAGAAGCAAAAAGTGTGCTGGGGATGTGTATTAACTTGTTGGGGTCATTAATGTAGAGGTTGAGTGCAATATTGCAAGCTTCATTGGCGTGGACTTCGGTGAAGAGTGACACGACATCAAAACTGGCCTTTAAGCATAACTGACTGTGTATTCGCTGAACAATATTATAACTGACTGTGTATTCACTGAGCAGCAGTATAACTGACTGTGTGTTCACTAAGCAGCAGTATAATTGACTGTGTATTCACTGAGAAGCAGTATAATTGACTGTGTATTCACTGAGAAGCAGTATAATTGGTTGTGTATTCACTGAGCAGCAGTATAACTGACTATGTATTCACTGAACAACAGTATAACTGATTGCGTATTCACTGAGCAGCAGTATAATTGACTGTGTATTCACTGAGAAGCAGTATAATTGGTTGTGTATTCACTGAGCAGCAGTATAACTGACTATGTATTCACTGAACAACAGTATAACTGATTGCGTATTCACTGAGCAGCAGTATAACTGATTGCGTATTCACTGAGCAGCAGTATAACTGATTGTGTATTTTTGTTAGCACTGATAAACAAGAGACTTTCATCTGTATTATTTTTAGATTAAAAGACGACTCCCAGTCATGTCAAGAAACAAACTTTAATAGTTAATTCAATATATTCTACACATATCTGAGCAATAAGAAATTCTAAGTTAAACAAAACGATTTTAGATAATAATAATAATAATACTCTAATTTGCAAAAACGGAAGTAACTCGAACTTTTACTCTTTGCACGTGGGACCTACAATGTAAGACAGTAACTGATTTCCTCACACAAACTATGCTGTAATTGTCTGTCTTGCTATTTGTTTTCTAAATAATTTGATATCCGGGGATCTTTTTTTTTTTTTTGGTTATTGATCAGAGTGATAGGATGAAGCAGTCTTCTGTGGAAAGTCATGGTTAAACACATAAATGTTACAAATTAGGGACACCTTCTTCATTATATTGATCCCTGCATGTCATGTCTGTATTCTGGCTTGTACCGTTTTATAATTACCCATTTAGGTCTCTTCTCGCTTCTTCTGTTCTAATTCAATTGACTGAATATATTTTCGTTCTAAATAGTATCAGTGAAGTAATTTCACAACAGTTAATATATGGTCTCTCAAATGTGTAGAACAGCTGATCAAAGTCTGCTTAATACATGGTCTCTCGAATTTTGTAGAACAGCTGATCAAAGTCTGCTTAATACATGGCCTCTCGAATATGTAGAACAGCTGATCAAAGTCTGCTTAATACATGGCCTCTCCAATATGTAGAACAGCTGATCAAAGTCTGCTTAATACATGGCCTCTCGAATATGTAGAACAGCTGATCAAAGTCTGCTTAATACATGGCCTCTCCAATATGGAACAGCTGATCAAAGTCTGCTTAATACATAGCCTTTCGAATATGTAGAATAGCTGATCAAAGTCTGCTTAATACATGGCCTCTCGAATATGTTAGAACAGCTGATCAAAGTCTGCTTAATACATGGCCTCTCGAATAT